TGTGGACTCCTTGATCAGTTGAATCAAGCTAAGATCTATACAAAAATAGATCTACGGAGAGCATACAATTTGGTACGCATTAAAGAAGGAGATGAATGGAAGATTACATTTCGAACAAGGTATAGATATTTTGAATACAAAGTCATGCCTTTTGGACTTACAAATACACCAACAACATTCAAACATCTAATGAATGATGTCTTTCGAGAGTTTTTAGATGATTTTGTTGTCTATTACCTAGACAATATCTTAATCTATTCTAAAAATACAAAAGAACATGAACTTCATATTCATCATGTGTTACAAAAACTAAGAGATGCGGGACTCTATGCCAAGATAGAAAAATGTATATTTCATACTACTAGAGTCGACTTCTTAGGATACATCATTTCAAATGATAGACTTATGATGGATCTTAAGAAAGTTCAAGCTATTATGGATTAGAAGATCCCAAAAATAATAAGAGATGTCCAATGCTTTTTGAGATTTGCCAACTACTATCGGATCTTCATTGAAGACTTCTCTGAAGTTGCAACTCCACTTATACGTTTGACTAGTAAAGACAAACTTCAATAGAATCAAGATGTAGAAGTAGCATTTGAAGTTTTGAAGACAACCTTTTTTTCTACACCAATCTTGTATCACGTTGATTTTTCTAACCAATTTTTTATGAAAACAGACACATCAGACTTTACTTTGGGTGCCATATTGTCACAAATGGGAACAGATGATAAACTTCATCCAATAACTTTTCATTCCAAAAAAATTTCAGCAGCCAAGATTAACTATGAGATCCATGACAAAGAACTTCTTGTAATTGTGGATTCATTTAAAGAATGGCACCATTATCTAAAAGGTGCTCCTAGTCCAATCACTATATATACGGATCATAAGAACCTTGAATATTTTATGTCAATACGTGTTTTGAATTATTGCTAAGTCCATTGGAATATGTCTTTGTCAAGGTTCAAACTCAAGATCACTTATCGATGGAAAAAACAAAAAGGTTTGTCAGATGCACTTTCTAGATAATCTTACCTTGTACCAAAGGAAGGAGATGCTATTTTTTATCAGCAACTGACAATTCTCTTAAAGCCAGAGCATCTTCATCTTTGAGTAATGAAATCAATACTAATTGTTGATTCAACTTTCATTAAGCAAGTTTAGTCAAGTAATTCTTCTGATCTTCTTATTTGTGATATTAAAGAAAATCCTTCAAAGTCTTATGATACTTCAAAGTTTGAATTCAAGAACAATCTACTATATTTTGAGGGACACCTATATATTCCAGAAGATGAAGCTCGATTATGTATTCTTTAAGCTTATCATGACTTTCCAACAACAGGAAATTTTGGATACAATAAAACTTTGGAATTAATATCTAGAGATTTTTGGTGGCCACAAATGTAAAAAGGTGTAAAAGATTTTGTTCAATTATGCGATGTTTGTTCAAGATCAAAAACTCCTTGTCATCAATCTGACGGACTTCTTCAACCATTACCTATTCCAAAACAACCATGGTCTTGTGTTTCTATGGATTTCATTACAGATCTTCCAATCTCAAGTACTCATGACTCTATATTCGTGATAGTAGATCATTTTACCAAGATGGCACAGTTTGTATCATATACAAAATCTATCATCGGTAAAGAAATAGCTAAGCTCTTTCTTGACAACATCTATCGCTATCATGGATTATCTAAAGATATTATATCGGATAGGAGAACTTAGTTTGTATCAAGATTTTGGCGGACCTTTTTTAAGATTCTAAAAGTAGATATAAAACTATCTTTGGTATTCCATCTTCAAACTGATGGACAAATGGAGTATGTTAATCAAGTTTTGGAGTAGTATATAAGATGTACCATCAACTACCAACAAGATGATTGGATAACTCTTTTGCCATTGACAGGGTTTTCTTATAATAACATGATACATTTTTCTACAAAATAAATACCTTTCTTTGAGAATTATGGTTATCATCCATGACTTGATACTTTTGACTTTTCAAAAGCTGATAATCCTATGACAGAAGATTTGGCAAATCATTTGTCAGAGCTACATACAACAATGAAGGCGTAGTTAATAGGAGTTCAAGAACAACAAAAAATCAATGAAAAAGTTTATCAAAAGGAACAACCACCATTTCATGCAAGTGACAATGTATGGTTACTTTGTCATAATATTAAGACCACTCGTCCTTATAATAAGTTGTACTATCGTAGACTTTGACCATTTCTTATTTCTGCACAAATCAATCCAATTGCATATCGTTTATACCTACCGAAATCAATGAAAATCCATTTAGTATTCCACGTGTCTCTTCTTGAACCATACAAGACAACGAACATTCCAAGAAGAAGACAAACTCCACCTCTTCCTATAGAAGTAGACAATAATGAAGAATTTGAAGTGGAAGAAGTCTTAGATTCAAGGCGACGCCAAAATAAATTAGAATATCTTCTCTATTGATGTCGATATGATATTAATGAATGCATGTAGGAGCTAGTAAAGAATTTTGCAAATGCAACAAAAGTGGTGGAGGCTTTTAATTGATGACATCTATCAAAATCAAGATGAAAACCTTCTATACAAAAGAAATAAGATCTTGACAAGATAACATTCTATTTTCAATCCTTATTTGTAGCTTCTTTGTAGTTGTAATGCTAAGGAGATGGAGAACCAACAACCAACAGGTTCGAGTGACGAGCCTTCATTTGCTGACCTATCAGACGAGACATTGCAATTGTCGCAATTTTTAACTTGATGCAATGGAGATGAAGAGCCTCAAGAACAACATGTTCTTCCTCAAATAGATGGCAAGATACAATACGTTTAGTATCACAACCTTTGAAGGAACTCCCGATATTTGGTGATTTTACTAGAGGCAGGAACAACTCTTGACAATGTTCTAAATATTTTATTTGAAAGAAGTTATGAAGGCCTCAACAATAATCAAATAACTGGGTGGTCTTCCCATCCTAATATGGGACACAATGGATGGTTGAGAGGCCCTATCAATCATCTTCGAAGAGAACAAAGATCAGAGTATGTAGCAAATACAATTCGTTGCATCTTAGACTTCCTCGATATGTGATCACCACTCCTCGTGGAACTCATCTCTAGAAGGGGGGATAATGTTATGGACATATATTTACTATAATTATTACTTAGATAATATGAATATATAGAAGTAGGTAAAAGTAGATTAATTTCATAATATCTTCTAAAAAAGCTTCCTAAAAGCTTCATAGATTCTACTTTGACTTTATATGTGTTTATACTTAATTGATAGGTTAGAAACTTGGTCAACAAGTTAACCACGTGCCACACATGTTGGTAGCTTGCGGAACAAGCTAAGTATGTGGCGCCCATATAAAAAACTTGCCTTGCAAATTAAGATATGTGTTGTGCAAAGTCAATACGTTTTTGGAGGTCCTATAGAATGTCACCACATAGCTCCTAGGTAGATAGTGAATATAGAGGCAAGAGTGAAGCCTTCTTCACTCTTATCAACTCCTTTCTTGCTTATAGTCTAGTTTCAAGGGTTTCTAGTTTTCTTGTCTTTTATCAATAGCCATTCCAATTTCTTTCTTAATATGAATATTTAGTTATTTCTATTTTTTCATCTTTCTTTGAGAAAAGTCTCAATTTTTTATTTATTTTTATCAAGTTCTTGTCCTTGACAAATGGTTGTTTTTGGGTTTGTACAAAGGCGATTTAGATAAGATGTATGAATTAGTTCAAGGGCATGATATGGTTTAAAGTATTTCAATGTTAAACATATAGATTGGAATACCATTGGACTATGAAAACCTCAAAATATGACACTTTTTCAAAATCATAGTTACCAAACTTAAGTTGGATTTTTTTTTTTTTTTTTTTTTTTTTTTAATCTAAATTTTTAATTTTAATTTTAATTTATTCTCTTATCACTAGGTAGATGATACCATCAAGGGGTGCTTTGTGGTTTAGATGCAAGAACAAATGAATAAATTAGTAGACTCAATATAATTATCTATATTTGTAAGATAAAAAAAAAAAAAAAAAAAAAAAAAAACAACACGTTAGTTCAAAGAAGAACTAAAGAGATTTTTTCAAATTTATTTATTCATTTATTTCTATATTATCATTGCACATTTTTTTTGGAACTAAATTCATTGAACGGAAGTTTTTAAAATAATTCTATCAATGACATTTCAACCTATTGAATAGCAAGTTAATCTTATTTATGTTTAATTTTTTATACTTTCTTCAATTTTTATTATTTTCTTTCTCCTTAAGAATAAAAATAAAGATTCTATACTTATTTTTTGCATACCAAAATAAAATATTACGATAACAAATAAGAAAAAATGTGCCCATCTGTTCTGGCCAACTTTTTATAATCACTTTTTCTAATCCCTTTTCTAATCACTTTTAATAATTACTTTTTTAATTACTTTTTCAACGGAGGAGCTGGGCATGATTGCAAAGACCTTGCTCAGAAGCTTCCCTGCGAACACGCTCTCTGGTGGTCCTTTTGCGAGGGGAACGAAAAAGAACAAGTTCCTCAGATCAACACACTTCATGCAATTTGATCGAAGGTTCTGCAGACTTGGAGCCCACGCAAATCCTGTTTTAATTTTAGCTCTCCTTTCTCAATGCCTGACCGTATACGTGGAGGAATTCTAGTACAAATACATGATACTGATACTTACAGATTGATTACACAACTGCACTATCAAGTATTATGCTTCATGGGAACAATAACTTCATATACGAATACTGTATACGAACACTCCGTAATTTCTGGTCACTAATACGGATCGGGAATACAGAGGAGGATTTTAGTGGACAGTCGGAGTGAATGATTCTTTATGGATGAATGCCATCGTTCGTGCAAATGACGGAATTGAACGAATAGGCGGGTCGCAGTGGATCTGAGCGTTGGATTGAGCGATCAGATGGACGGCTATCGGTTGTCGCTCTCGAAGCATTTGGTCGCTGAAGGAACCTCACCCAAGCTTATTTCAGAGTTTGCGATTTGCGGGAGGAGCAGCGATTGTGTTGTAGTTATTGGCGTTCGATCGATATAGTGTTTATGGATGTTTCCGTTCTTTTGAGTTCTCTGTTGTCGGATTTGGTGGCCATTTGGTAGCCGATCGGGGGCTATTGGTTTCCGTTTCGCAGGGTCTCTCTGTCTGTATTTGTGGGTGCGCAGTGGAAGCTCTCAAGATTTCTCCGGGCACTGGAGGCAATTGAGGATCTCTTTTGTTGTCCGTGTGGTGAGAAGCTTGGTGTCGATTATCATTGCATGGTGGGAAACACAGACGATGAGTCTTCTGCTGTGGATAGCGAGTGTTCGGAATTTTTCTTAGTTAGCGGTATTTCTTGTCGCGGTAATCGAGTCCTCGTCTTCTCTTCGGGTCTACTCTTCTTGAATTGTCTGTATCAGCTCATCATCATGCCTCAGGATATGAGGGCCGCCTCCGCCGCTTTCGATTACGTTACACCACATGACACGGATAATCTTGAGGAATTGGTGGATAGCATGACGATGATCAAAAGATTGCTTGCAGGATTGTCACAGATGTATATGATGGAGACACCCATAAGTGTCCACATCCCTCAGAAGTGTCTCAAGATTTTGTCTTTCGATGATGATATCGGCCTATCTCCTCTTCGGTTCCGTTCATGCTGGATCGAAACTAAGATTCGACGTCAAGAGGAGTTCGTAACATCTTATTTGGAACCAAGCGTGGCACGATATTTTCAACTAGGTGTTCGCGATGATGTCATCGAAAGAGTAACGACGGGAATGGCTCTCCATTCACTGAAACCACATGCGCTCGTTACCCAGGCAATCGAGGCAATCAATTTCCAGCGAAGCCTGCCTCCTCATCCAGAACGAACTCCTTCTCTCCTGCTACATTCTCAACTTCCAGCGACCTATCAACGAATCCCGCCTTTTCTCGATTGCATTCCTTCTCTCCTGATGCATTCTCAAATTCCAGCGGCCTTCCAGCGAAGTCTGCCTCCTCATCCAGAACGAACTCCTTCTCTCCTACTACATATTCTAATTCCAGCGACCTTACAGCAAATCCTTCTCTACCTGCTTACCTTCACAATCTCCGTCCTCAAGTCCCAAAAAATTCTGCGAAGTCACCATGGCTGCCTTTTCGAAGTGTTCCTTCGTGGTGGGCATTAAAAACTTTTCATGCTTCTTTTTCTTCCAGTATCCCTGGTGTAGCGGCACGTCTGTTGCGCGCAAGAGTCAGGTTTATGAACTGGAAAGGCTTTCTGCTCAAAGTGATACGAGCAATGAAGTTAGTGCAGATTCGATCAACACTAGCACCGCAGTAGATGACTTTAGAACCGCAGTAGATGACTTTAGCACCGCAGTAGATGACTGTAGCACCGCAGTAGATGACACTGAGGAGAATGACAAGCTAAGTTGGATCTCCAAGTGGTCCAACCTGATTGCTGACGATGGCAAGACCATCATAAATTTCACGGTGGCGCTTCTCTTCAGATGGTTTATCGCCGAGCCACGATTCATTCCGTCCCTATCCATGTATCGAACCTTCTACAGTGGCGACTTCATCATCGCCGAGAAGGTATGCTTTCAGATTCGGCTGCTTCATTAGTCTAGCGATCCATTGTCTTCTTCATTAGCTGCACGAATGTTGTATGAACTGTGGCGCATTTTTACTGTCAGTTATTCTATTAAATTTTGTCCTTCCCGAATGATCGCAGTGTCTCAATTATGTAGTGGCTGCTGATGCACTTTGGAATTGATCCTTCTCTGCAGGTTTCATACTTCTTCAGGAAGCCTGGTGTTAATGACATTGTCATTTTCAAGGCTCCTAAAAGCTTGCTAGATAAAGGTTGCAGTCCTGAAGAAGTCTTTATCAAGAGGGTAGTCGCAATGGCAGGCGACCTAGTTCAGGTAATCAACGGGAAGCTTGTCGTTAATGGCCTCATCCGGATCGAAGACTTTACGGCGGAACCACTTTCGTATGATATGGCCCCCGTAGTATGTATCCTTACTATCTCATTCCTCCCTTTTGACTTAACCGTGAAACTCTAGGATCTATCAGTAAGTATTTAGTCAATGTTCTAGCATGAACATATTAATTTTTAGTTGTTTTGTGAAATTGACGAGAGCATGAAATTCACTCTGCCTAATGGCGTTTGCAGAAAATACCAGATGACCACGTTTTTGTCATGGGAGATAACAGAAACTACAGTTTCGATTCTAGCGTCTGGTATGTTTTTCTCAACCTGCTCTGTTTCTCATCCTAGTGGGATCTGTTAGCAGTATTTTCTTCCTTCAAAAGGTTTCAGAAACTCGAAGATAAATTGGCTGGTATGCATGTGGAATTCACCGTTCTCGATAGTTGGTCTTTCTCTTTTGAATGGAAGTGGTTCATGTTCATATTACCAATATTTAAATGTGGCGTTTCTTGTAGGGGTCCACTTCCCAACAAAGACATTCTTGGACGCTCTGTGGTACGTTACTGGCCACTCGAACGTCTTGGCAGTACGGTTTTTGACGCAACTGAGCTGTTGAAGTCGTCCTTGCCTTTGCTGGAATCGAAGGAGACTGCTATTTCTTGACTTGGCAGCTCAATGATTATTACCAATTCACCTGGGCAGATTGCCTAGCCAATGTTAACTCATATTATTCATTGACCATTACCACACATGGAATGGGGAGGTTACCCCTATCACTCGGGTACCGCGAAACGATGTTGGCCAAATCAACTGGCCTAATCAAAGCTCTCGAACATCAGTTTGGAGACCTATGAACAGCTGATGATCTCAGACACAACGCGACATCAGTTAAGACAAGATTGATTCAAACCCTGAAATCGAGGAGCGCCTCCCTTCAGAGTTTTAGAAATCTTTCATGAAGGAATCGATTGACCATTTAAAAAATCAACTCTCCTTGTGGATCGTGAGATGGGTGAAAAATCATGTCCACGGTCAACCCTAGGTCCTCATGTTGACAAAGGATCCTCAATCGGGTCTCGAAATTCCCTTACGGCACAAGAGCAGTTGATGTCCTTCCATCCTGTGAATGATGCGGGGGCCTCTTCACTGCAAATTGTCACATTGCGCCATCGAATTACCACTCAGGACGCTCATGGAAAACCTTGATCTCGAGGCTATGCAGACTTGCCCGCTTACAAGTAAACATGTATGGGTGAATGCTGCTCGGGATTCAAGACCTAACGTTAGTCTTGTCTTTCGATGCCTGAGCACGGCCAACTTTCATATGCTCAGGTTGCCTATATACCAGTGGTTACGGAAGTGGCTGAACTGTGTAGCATCCAACGGTAGTCATGTTGTCTGCTTTAGTATTTGAAATAGTATTCAGTAATACCCGCGTGTTGTTTTGATTGCTTTTGTGGATATCTATTGTAGACCATACAACTTGGTCTTGTCATAAACCTTGTAATTATTTGTAAATATAACTCACCCCTATTCTCTCAGGGTTTTAGACTGTTGACATGGTATTTTGATGCTTTGGGAGATAGTCATGAATCTGCTTTTCACAAGACTGGGGAATTCTGAGCCCTAAATCCCCGTTGTGTGGCAGAAGAATTAGCGAACCAACTGGTGGAAAACAGTGGCAACCATTATCTGCCATTAAAATCAGTTTTAGTAATATAAACAGAGATTTTGCCCGTGGTATGTCGTAATCAAGTGATGAGATGATGCTCAGTTGCCATTCATCCCTCTGGAGCACTCATTCTCCTTATTTTGTGTAACTACTTTGGAACATTTAATCTGGTGTTGTTTGTATTGCATTAGATTTGTACTACACTTTTGATCTAATCTATTTCTTTCATTTTAAGTAGAATGCCAACTACAGCCACATTTTTCTTTAAGAAATGTTTTAGTTTAAATTTAACTATCCTACAGACATTGATAAAAACATTTAACGGAAATTTTCAGAAGTCGTGCATGATGTATTGAGGTGAAAATTACAGATTACAGTTTATTGTGTGTATTGACTGTATGGATTAGATTTAATACTTAGATTGTAGTTCCAAGAATGTTCAAGTTACAAATTTTAGTACATATTGAGTCTCAGATTAAATAAAGTAAAAATGAGAGTTGGGAAATTGAAATTTTGATTTGAAAGTATCCAAATTTTGACTTGTCCTGGTATGTTATTGTCTGATTTTGAAATAAAAAGTATATTTTTAGAAAGAATTTCTCAAACTAAAAATAGACCTTATGTAATTAATTGAGACAAAGTTTTTACTTGACATTAATTACGTACATAGTAGGATTTCAAAATATGAGAAAGTTATTGTGCGTAACACGGAAATTGATTTTTTTTTTTTAAATGTTTCATTTCGAAGCTTAAGCATTTATTTCCAACTTACGCATTCATTTCCACTTCCCCTCAACAGCACAATCCTCGATTGTCACTAAATGAAAAACAGAAATACGTTGTAGCCGTTCGTCATGAACACTTCCAATATCTGGAAAAATATAACGTTAAGTTGTAACCGATCATTTCGTATTTCAACCAACAGCTCTAGAGATTCGCTCCATGCAGAATCATTCCATTTGTTTAGAATTTTCTGAAGCTTCCTGGTGCCTTCATGCAGTTTATAAACGGTCATTGCGAACAGCAGAGATCTAAATCTCGTGTACTGTGGTGATCTATGTTGCATATGTCACAAATTCCATTTAATGAGCACGTGAATCTTAACTTTAACAAACGTAACTTTAATTTTTTTAGAAAGCTGCAGAAAAACAACTTTTCCCTGCATTCTATTGTATATACCAGTAATATCATCGGAGTTCAGTAAACTCTTGTCCTGACTAGTACCAGTACTTCCCCTGAAAGAGGAAATAGAAGCTGGAAAAAGTGGTTCCACTGCCTAATAAATCACCCAATAGCATGGTACCACTGTTCCAATCCTTTTCACGACTAATAATGCCGTCCCACAAGTACCAACGACAAAAGTCTATTAGGACATGATAGAACATGAGCCCTTAAGATGGTAAGAATTTCCACAAAGGTCTTGAAATGCACCTGGCTGCACTACTAACAGTATCAGCAACATCAAAGACAATGTTGTGTTGAAGCAACTTATTGCTAGAATGGAAGCATTCAGGGGAAGTTAATGGGTGCTTTTTGCATGGATTTTTGGACCAGCTCAATTTGCTCCTGTGCGTGAACACTACCGAAGCCTGTAGCAGTTGCTGCTGCTGGTGGCCGACCGACGTACTTGATATCCTCGAATTTTCCACGGCTCAGCTCTCTAAGAACAGTGGCAATTCGGGGTGCGATGTAGGTGAATGCACCCATGTTCATTGGTTCCTCTTGCGACCACACAACCTCAGCGTCTGAGACAAATCCAACCACATCATAGGTTAAGCTATCAGCTGAGGTTCAGCTAGCAGGTTGCCACAAAACATCTTTCTGTGAAAAGTTAACAATCTGGGTGAAGTTTGCGAAAGAAGAGTCAAAATTTATCAAGGGCTTTCAAAGTTCTGAATATTGAAGATATGCGATAAATCAGAACCTATACTGGTAGAAGCCACTACGGAGAAAGGAAGCAAGTATATTCAGAGGCATCAAAATTAGGAGCAAGAAACGTACTGGGGTATCTTTTCAGCTCCCTCATAACGAGGTCGTAGGGGACGGGGCAGAGTTGTTCCAATCGGCAGATGGCGACATCGTTGGCGCCAACTCGATTACGCTCCTCATCAAGCTCGTAATAAACCTATTGTATCCAGACAATCATAAATCTATACCCAAACCCGAATAAAATTTGCAATAATACTAGCATGATAGGTAGTATATGGGATTTTACACCCACCATGTGATTTGATATATTAACACAGATGACAAAAAGAAAAAGAAAAAAAGAAAAAAGAAGAAGAAGGTCCTATCACAATAAATAAGATTCACATTGCATTCGTTCACGATACACAGTTGTCATTATCAACATCTATATATCAACAAAACACATGATCTGGTCATCACAAAACACAAATATTCGTACTTCTGGAAAGGCTACCGCCACTTACCTTGCCAGAGCAAAGAACAAGCCGACGAATACTCTCCTCAACTTCACCATGGTCATTCTTATCTTTGATTAAACGCTTGAATCGTGTCCCTTGCTTATCGAAACCTGGATGTCCTTGAACATCATCAAATTCAGAGAGATTTGATACACAAGACTTGTGTCGAAGAAGGTTCTTGGGTGACATAATGATAAGAGGCTTGCGGAAGTCTCTGTGAATCTGCAGCCATTCATAAGACCGTCAAAGAATCAGCACTCTCGCTAATACAAGGAATGAAGGATTCCCCAGTGCTTGACATTGCAGAACGAATTAAGAAGCATATAATTCGTTTGCAAGTTAAGTGCTTTCATTATGCTCCGCATAAATGGATACAATCCTACACAACCAAACACGCTGCAATATTTCCCAATAAAACTGCCTGAAAAATCATATCCACATCGCTACAACCTACAAAAGGATTTTGGAGCTGCTTTATTTCGACGATGCTTAGAGTAATATAAGTTTTACATACCTGTCGTCGCAGAACATGGAAGTAGTTGGCAGGTGTGGTAACGTTGACAACCTGCCAATTTACTTCCTGGATTTGCCGTCTCAAGCTTGGATCCATTTCTGGAACGGCAAATGGGTAGTCATCGCTCATCTAGAATTAAAAAAATATCAGTTTCACATCATTAAAAAAAAGGAGAGAAGGAGAGAATAAAGATCTTCAACAACGAGGCACTACCCGGATTCAGAAAGACTCGTAAACTTCCATCCCACAGAATATTTTTTACCTGGAGGTATCTTTCAAGACGAGCACTTGAATGCTCAGGTCCTTGCCCGTCATACCCATGAGGGAGCGTGCATACAAGACCTGTTTGTCGAAGCCACTTAGATTCCCCACTGCTTACAAACTGGTCAAAAATTACTTGGGCACCGTTAGCGAAGTCACCAAACTGAGCCTCCCATAAGACGAGAGAATTGGGGTTCTCCATTGAGTAGCCAAGCTCGAACCCTAGTACTCCAAACTCAGATAGCGAACTGCATGACGAAGAAAGCAAAGTCAGCCAATGCAAAACATTCAAACAATTTAAGAAGAACACCCTAAAATAAGATGTTTCAAAATAGAATGTAACCCTAAGACAACAAATTACAAAAACGGCTTAGCATTGCATGTATTCCACGCATCACGAGAAAATTATATCACCATCATCAAAGTATTCTTACCTGTTGCTAACAGTGAACATCTCTTCATTCTGATTCATGACAACGTGGTCAAGGGGACAATATTTCTCTCCTGTTTTTTGATCATGCACTACAGAGTGACGATGGCTAAAAGTGCCCCTCTCCACATCTTGACCGCTAAGTCGTACATGATTACCTGTAATAGAATTCAACAGTATGATGCGTAAGATCCATTAACCCCACTAAGTATTTCTTTCCCCTTTTTTCCTTCATTCTTTCTTGTAATTGAAAGTAGAGGACAGGACACAAAGACGTTATCATCTGTGATTTTCTTTAAAAAAATCTAGATATCATTTCAGGTTACCTGTAACCTAAATTGAAATTTTGCAGGTTTCGTTACTGAGATTCACTTCGTCGGATTTCTAATATTAACAAGAGGTGGTTTTGACTCAAAGCAGCAGTGAGGAAAATTCAAACAACTGTAGGTAGATAATAATGATGTACCTTCAACTAATAGTGTGGCAAAAGCAAGTGCTTCTGCAGTTGCCCAATCCACACCTTCACCCGTTTCAATCATCTTCTTTCTTGCATCGTACACCCTTTGGATGCCCTTGTGCGCAGTAAATCCTTCGGGTAAGGTTGTAATAGCTTGCCCAACATTTTTCAAAATTTCTGGCTTCACTCTGCCAAACCCCCATCGTTCATAAAATTGAGGATAAATAAACATAGGCAAAAGTATTTAGTCATAACAAGAGGGATACTGCACTCCCATCGAAGTGACCAGCTGCACTACAGGGCATATCATAAACGTAAGGAACAATGGCAAATGGGCTCAACAATCCTTGTAACCAATATAAAAGGATGCTAAAATATTTGACAGATATGATGAATGCATACCCTGTATTACGAATTCTGGAAAGCTGCTCTGGTCCCTTGAAACCTTGCCAGTAAGCAGCTAACCAGTCTCGAGTGCTAGGCACGTATTCCTTGCTTTTATCGAACTCCTCGTTCAGGATTCTGAAAACGTTGTTCTGAAGATCTGAGACCTCTTCTTGAGAAAGATGTTTCTCATCAATCAACCTCTTCATATAGCTGTCAAGTGCTGGTGGATGGTTCCTGATCACCTGCAATGATAACAGGTCAAGCACAAACATCAAAAATTCATCCTCTCAGGATCTTCAAAACTATATTGATGCCCGGAAGAAAATCCAAAATCGCGCAATTGTTCCTTACTTTTGTAATTGTTCCTAAAAACACAAAGCCTCAAATAATTCTTAGCACTCCGACAAAATGTTGAAATTCAAAAACCGCATGACAAAAACCCATAAAACTTATCATCAAGAAAGCATAGCAAATTCCGAAAGGTGAGAAAACTATATTGATAAAATTGTCGTATTTTTTGAAGTCAAAAACATTATCGTGTCCGCCGGCCACTCAGGACCATGCAAAAAGCTCGAAAATAAGATCATACCTTGTACATGGTGGGTTGCGTGAAAGAAGGCTCGTCTATCTCATTATGTCCAAACCTACGGTAACACACAATGTCTACGACAACATCGGCTTTAAACTTGTGACGCCACTCAGCTGCAAGCTCGCAAGCATGTACAACTGCCTCCACATCGTCACCATTGACATGGAAAATCGGTGCATTAAGAGCCTTGGCGACGTCAGTACAGTATGGCGAAGATCTGCTCGATTTAGGATCAGTAGTGAATGCGACCTGCAAAACAAGAGCCACCGTTCAGCTCATCGACTCAATTTAGAGGCTCAAACTTCCTGCCTTGTGCTAGACACAAGGGGATCTCACATTAAGAAAGGTACAACATGATTGATAGCGCCAGTGAGCAGGGGCTACATGTGATAGGTGACGATAATAATGCCCAAAACTTTTTGAATAACCCCATCACATTACGCTGAAAACGTAGATAATACCCATCATAATAAAGAATTGTATTGCACGATTTCCTAACAAGAACTTTGGGAACAGAATCTATCCGCCCTTAGATTCATTAGAAACCTTGTAACATAGATGAATCCCGGTGATTAGCAAAGTGAATACAACCATTCAGAAGTGCTGCAAAATCAACATGAAAATGACCATAGCTGCATGTTGAGGTTGCAGTCGTGAATATTTAAATTCCAAAGAGGATATGTCAAGAACCTGATTGTTGACCACAATATGAATGGTGCCTCCAATTGTGTAGTTGGGAAGATCACTCAAATGAAGAGTTTCATAAACCACGCCTTGACCGGAGAAACTACCGTCTCCGTGAAGCAAAATGGCCATGTTTTTGCTTCGATCCTTATCGTTGGAGTAATACTGCTTAGCACGAGTCTTTCCGATAACAACGGGATCGACAGCCTCCAAATGACTGGGGTTAGCTACAAGAGACAGATGTATTCTCTTCCCATTTCGCGTCGGCCGATCGTACGACGTACCGAGATGGTACTTCACGTCTCCACTTCCAGTATAACCACCAGCATCTTCAGATGGTTTAATGCCACCGCTAAACTCGCTGAAAATTTGCCTCAGAGGCTTGCGGACAACATTACCGAGAACATTAAGGCGTCCTCTGTGGGGCATACCAATAACAATACTCTCCACACCAGTATCCGCAGCCCTGTCGATTAGCTCCTTCATACCTGCCAAGAAAAACCTAGGCCATTCGATAAAGTCTTCACACCGACTCTGGACTCACTTCAAAAACTGAATAAGAATTATCCACTGATAATCACTTCCTTGATTCTTGAAACTAACAACAAGCACAAAACCAACGATTTTCAGGTCTATACCAGGACTAGAAGTAACACAGAAAAGAAAGTCGAAGAATCTGGACATACCTGGAATTAGGGTCTCACAACCCTCCAAACCAAACCTCTTCGCTGCGGTCCACTTCTGGGACAGGAAGTTTTCAAAATCAGTAGCCCACATGAGCCGATCCAGAATGACAGCCTTCCGGCTAGGTCCGTACTTCCCAGGACGTTGAGTTTCGATATTGTCACGCAACCAATTGCACCTTTCCCTTTCTGGAATGTGCATGTATTCGTATCCGATAGTGCCACAATAAGCTTGTTCTAGCCTGTGCAGGAGTTCGAAATTGCAAGGTCAATCTTCCACAACTTTATACTGACTCTCTAACCACAACTGTTAAAAGTACTTCAGCAGCAACATAGAATAAAGCAACGCATCCGCTTCTACCGACTAACAGCAATCTAATCAATACTAATCAAAATATGAACATGAATCCACTCTCCATTCCACTCATTAGCTCAAATTGTTGCACAAGAATGTAATCTAAACTATGAAGCTACTCTTGGACTGAAAATTTAAAAACTAATTTAAAAAAACCAAAAAACCAAAAACAAGATCAAGCAGACAAACACACAATCCTGACTAAAGGATAAATGTAACTCTTCCAAATTAGCCTAGAGGTTTGATGCAGAAGCATGCCTGGACAGAATTGCCCGCAAAGTCTGCACTGGACGGTTCTCAGAAAGGAACCCCGACATTCGCCACACACCGAGGAAAAACTCTCTATCAAGATCAGCCTCGGAGAATCCATATAAAGCAGGATCAAGCTCGAGCGGGATATTCCTATCGTCAAGGCCCAGGGGATCGAGCTTCGCCTTCATATGACCATTCACCTGGTAAGCTCTCACGAGCAGCAACAGCCGCATGCTCTCCTGGATGGTCTGTCCTGACAAACCAACATTACTTGCCGTCTGCCCCGTAAAGTTCCGGAAAAAGGTATCCCACGACTCATCAACACTCTTCGGATCTTGCTCCCACGCACGCTGCAGCTCCTCCAGATACACACTCGAGGTCCCATCCAGAAAGTTGTCCGTCAGCTTCGACAAGGGCACGCTCCTTGGCGTCGCAGCTGCCGCCTGCTGCAACCTCTCCTTCGACGAATGCAACGCTCTCGCCCACCCCGTCAACGATGAGTTCAAATCCCGAGCTACATCCCGAGCACCACTACACTTCGTGTAGTAGTCGGCTCTCCTCAAACTTCCGACCAATGAACCGCTTGATCTCACCTGCCGCACAGCAGATCGAGCAAGGGTCTTCGCCGCGACAGAGCCGACCCGAGACCACCCCATCGCTAAACCCTAATTGCTCAAAATCTTATTGCTCCCTCTAATCTTTACGAGATAAACCAGTTCCTAAGGTGTGAAGGAGCCGGTTGCGGTGACGGTGCGCCCGACGAAGAACGCGCCTACAACGAGAGAGGTTTGCACAAGGTCGGAGCAGCGATGGTCTTGTTGTTCAGGATCCAACTAGCAGTGGCGATGGCGTCACTGAAGCTGCCAACACACGCGACGACACCAAAAGTGCCTCGCTCACACTTGACTTTTCCAGTTACCGCGAGAGACTCAACCTATGCTAGTCCCCACGGTTCACACCCGGTTTCTACCATGCACCGGATCCGGTATAGACTTCGCTGTGTTTTGTTATTAGGCGTGGGCTCAACTATTTAGACTGGCATAAGTCATTTGTTGATCAATTGTTGTTGGTGTTAAGGGATTCAAAAGAAATAAATAAATAAATAAATAAATAAATTTTCGGAGAAACACGAAGCAGACAATGTAGATGCAAAAAGATATTTTGAAATGAGTTACAAGCAAAACTTTTGCTCTTTCTTCTTGTACTTTGTAAGAAGATATTTTTGTCCTGGAGTTTAGCCACCTGGACAACTTTAATTCCCACTAATCCTAGTCATGACGAATGTTGGTATTTATTCTAAACAATACATAGATTTACATATGGTGAGTTGCCTTGGTAGGGTAAGTCATAAAATAAAATAGCATGCATTTATGCAATTCTACAATTGAATCAGAACATTCATTAAGAAGTTATAAATTACTATGTATGTATATACAAATATATGAAATTATTTTTTCATTCATTTGTTAATTCTAAAAATAACTATTGTGAAAATAAACTTCTAAGTCATTCTAAGACATTAGATATCTATTTAGATTCTGTCAATATTGTCCAAAATATCATAAATACTATGTAATAATTATTTTTTAACTCAGTATAGTTTTATTTCTCTAAGATTCATTGAATTTTTTATTATAAAGTTGCCTATTTATATTCCTATACTATTTATATGAATATATAATTTTGATAATTTTGCAACATCAAAAAAACCAATGTTAGATTATACTTTATTGATATTCATTTGATTATCATTCCTTTTAAAGTAATATAAATATTTAGAGGTTGCATATATATATATATATATATATATATATGAGCATATTAGTTATATTTTAGTTACAATTTATATTTTTACCAATTTTTAAAAAAATACAAAATTATTGTAAAAGACACTTAATGAATAAAATAACTGATAAAAACAATACAACAACTTAGATACATGCTATCATTAGTAATTAACTTAATTTTATTGAAATATATATTTAAAATAAGGCATGTTGAACAAATGTAACAAATAATAATACTACTAATAATAATAATTATTATTATTATAACCACAGCAAGCAAACAAACATATTAAAACTTGCATTTAAAGAATCACACATTAGACTTTAATATATGCATATGTTTTTTGATTCATTTGCCACAAATTAATTGAATTTAAAAGTTTAAAAGTTACGTTCATTGAAATAATTTTAGTCAGACTAATGTTATATTGATTTTAATCAATCTATGCGAAATTGAATTCTATATGAATTAAATTAGTATTTACTTTAAAATAAAACATAAAAGATCAAATCAAATTGTATAAAAAGTATTTATAAAAAGTATTTATAAAAAGTATTTATAAAAAGTATGAGGTTTTATAAGAAAATCAATGAAATTAATAATTTGTTATAAAAATAATTTAATACTTATACATATACATATGTTAAAAATGTAGTAGATAGCTATTAACAACAAATAAGATAATTTGACATTTGTATAAATTTTATACATATATGACATTTAATATATATATTAAATCAATTCTATATTTATTCAAATTTTTAAGTAAAACTTCAAGCCAAGTCTTTATCTAACAAATACTACAAACATATATTTGGATTTTGTTTATAGATATATAATAAGAATTCTTAATACTCCAAAAATTCAAAATTGGTTTTAAAAATGAAAGAGATTATAACTTAAATTATTTTTTAATACCTATAGATTACTTTTTTAGTTTAATTAATAATATATAATTAGAAAGCCAAATATTTTATAGAGATTCAGATTTGTGTGCATCAAATAAGGTAATATAAGTTTAAAAACTCCTAATATACTAAAAATATAAAATATAAAATATTTAAAATAGTATTAATAAAAATAATATTACTAGATTCTACAACATTATACACTAAAAGAAATTATGATATTTTCAAATTTTTCTATATCATTTCATCATCTTAAATAAGATAAGATTTCAAAAAGATAAACTTATCAAATATCATTTGAAACTTGGTAAGTAACATATTTCAAATTAAATACTAAAAAACAGTTTAACTTAATTTCATGCTATATTGGAATATTAACAAATACTTAATAATAAAAGCTGTATGCTTTTATTTTATGAAAAAAAAGATGTTAGTATTTATGTCAAATTAAACAATTTGAACAAAACTAAATAAATCCTTTAGATTAAATGAATACTTGTATATATATATATATATATATATATATATATATATATATATATATATATGTATATATGCTATTTTTTTATTTAAATAAATTGAAATAGTTTTATTGATTAAAAAATATTTTTTGATGATTAAAGTATAAAGACAAATTTGTTTCATAACATAATAAAGTAAAAGAAATTAAATAAATATTTTTTATTTTTATTTAAAGTCTAACAATTTGTAATTTATAATTCTTAAATTATCGTCACAATTTTAAAAATAAATTTTTTTATATATTTTTTTGTAAAACCAATTTCAAAATTCAAAATATTTTTTTAGATTAAAATTACATATATAATAAATTTTAGATCATTGTGTATATAATACTTGTATGCACGTATAGAAATAAGTAAATAAAAAAATATTATAAATTGTATATAAATATGTGGTGTATATGTGTACATATATATAATTGTATTTACTTTTTTTTTTTTTTTTTTTTAGTTTTATAAGAAATAAAAAATTCAATGTTTAAAACAAAAATATTTAAAATTCTATTAGATAAATAGTAATATGACCATGTATTTTTATAAAATAAATAAAATTAATAAATTCATAATTTTTGAAAATAAATTTAAAGATCTTTGAAACCATAAAAAATTTATTTTTGAAGTTGTTTGGCATTTAAAATATTTTTCAAAATAAAATCATATAAAATGTAGAATTATTGTCAAGGGCATGAGTTACAAACAATCAAAGATTCTATATACTTTTGTATGACTAGAAAAGAATAGATATTTATAAAAAAATAATCTAATATTAAAACTAGAATAGCTATGGCTAAAGATAAGAAGGTTAGAGACTCTTGAAACAATACTAAGAATAAGAAAAGTGTTAACTCTTATCCTTATATATATACTATTTAATTATGATCTATAAAAAAAAATATAGGACCTTTAACATGTGTCTAACTTGTAAGATATGTTTCTAACTTGTAAGTCAAGTTTTTATATATATTCCACAAAAGCAACTTATTAGTTAGATTTTTAATCTACTAATCACCTATAAATATATGAAAAATCAAATTTGCATCCATAGAGCTTCTAAGAAGCTTTTGCAAAAGATATTATCAAATTTTTATAATTACTTTTACTTACTATAGCTTAATTTATCCTATGTAAATAAATAGTATTATAAGTCATGTCCATGATAATTGTACATTATCTAATTTTACAAATCATTTGGTTGAAAAAAATGAGTAAATAGAAGGCATGTATAGAAATAAAATAAAACAAACAATTCTCAATACTAGTTAAAGTTATTTTGCATGGATAACATCTACAAGTATATGATAGAACAATATCTTATGATTTTTTAAAAGCACAATAATTCTCAAAAACAAAAAGAAAAATCTTCCAATTTTTTTAAGATTCTTCTCACAAAGTATAGTGCATGCTTGTTTTGAACAACAAAGTATTGTTAATGGTGGAAAAAATTACTTAACAATCTTGAAATCAATTGTCAAAGTAATTTTTGAAGACATGCTACTTAGTGCCATAGAAGTGATTCTTAGAGATATCCCATTAAGAACATATATTTTTATTTATAAAAATAAATCAACAATATCTAAATCATATTTATGATGGTTTTTAAGAATACAATTCAATTTAACTGTGTACTCTTTTTTTGGCACATAGTATGTTATTTCAAAAGATTTTTTGTGTAATTAAAGAGAATTGTATTTATTTGAATATTGTCGCCATAACAAGATGTCTGTCTTTAAAAGAAGTCTCAAATATATCTTATTTTATTATTATGATATTATTATAATACATTTTTGATAATATAATTAAATGTTTGATATTTTTAATTATCGCCAATGATTCTAGTAATAATTTTGAGAACTTCCTTATAGACACTTGCATTTTTTTTTAGCTATAATAGAAAATAAGAAATTATTGTTATTCCACTTTTTGGCCATTTTTATCTTTAAAAATCTCTAAGTGATAAGTCATTATTCAATGTCATGGTGAAGTTTCTTGATGTAATAAGCTTTAATTAGATGAATAAAATGATTGGATTATTAAGTAAAAGAACATCAAACATGATAAAATATATTCAAGGAATTTCAACCAAAATTGAAGCTTTAAAAACACCCAATGTGTTTAATTGCATTTGGTTCTTGATGCACCAACTTGATCTTGTTATAAAACAAATCATTGAAAATATTATTGACTTAAGTAGTTTTATTTTTATTGTGACTTTGATGAAGGTAATTAATTGATTATATTGTCAAAAAAAAACTTATCTTTTTCATAAAATCTAAAGGTCTATTTTATATTTGTGTTCATTGGATGTTTCTAAGTAAAGTTTTAAAGTGGTTGTTGGTAAATTGCTATCAAGTTTATTTTATATTTTGATGATAAAAGATATATTGCATCTTTGTCAAATAAATTGTAATTGATGGCTTATGCTCTTGTATTCTATTTTAATGCTATATTAGCAACATCCATCATACTCTAAGATAATGATAATTTTATCAAAAAATAATACCATTGTCTTTTGAGATTGATTAATGAAATACAAATTTATATCAATACTAATTGAAACCTTGAATTGAACCGCCTCTCTTAAAGCACATACATTTTAGAGGACTTTGTCTCATTTAGACAATTCTTTGTCAATGCAAGTAGTTTTTTTTCTATATGTTATGGCATTACTATAATAGCTAAAGAGCTTAAAGTTTCTTTTAATAAAAATGATAAAGCAATTGTCTTATTCAACATTGTTATTGTAGACCTTGTTAGTTTAAATATCATTG